TGTGGAGCTGTGCCCTTCTTCTGCCAGTCGTGAGATTCGAAGCCCTAAACCCTACCTATAGTCTCCTTTACTTTGTAGTTCATTTTTTGGGTTTAACCAATTATATATTAAGGATTCTATAAGGTATCCCCAAAAAGGAACTACAATGGAGATTACAGGTAAAACCTTAAGCCGTAGCGAAACTTAGGGTATTGTAGGCTTGGGCTTCCCAAGGATCCTGCTTTAAATATCCCCAAGACTTGACACACAAACCTGCTGCAGAAGGGGTTTGTTGCGTAGGGCATTTAGGGTTTAGGGGTTTAATACTGTAAGATTTGGGGGATAAGTCAATTTATGGTGTTACTTGGGCCCGGAAAGGTATCCCATGCACTTTCTATGCCCAGTTCTCCTGACGGGGAAGCATGATGGCTTCCAGAAGTGCGGCGGAATATCTTCTTAAGATGCTCTTCAGCTCTCTTCTTTGCATTATTGGTTTTTTGTCGAAGTTTACACCTATAAACCCTCCGCATAAAACCTTAAACCCTAGACCCCTAAACCCTAAACCCTATGAAGTCCCCAATCGAGTGTGCCAGCAGGACTCCGGCTGGCATGGCGTGCACGTGCCCGTCAAGGCCCTCAGCGCTCGACTGCTGAATTCCCAAAAGGTCCAAGTAACAATAGGGTTTGGGGTTTAGGGTCGGCATAAATTGAAACGATGTCCCCTTATAGTCCTTATAGCCCCATTTCAATTATTATGCTATGATCTACCCCAAAACAGTGTTCCAATTGTCAAGGGCCCTGTTTTGCCAATGTAGTATGCAGATAGTAGATCTGAGCCTGCTTGTAAACACTATAATACTACACTGTTACTTGGGCCCGTCCGGATTGCCATGAAGTTGTGACACTTGCGTCACCATTTATGGCACTGCCTCGTGTTTCTACCGAGTGCGATGAAAGCAAGATGATGAATCTGGCGAAGAGGGTGCCACGGCTGCTGCTGGGGCGATGCTGGTACTTCTCGCGATGGTGATGTTGGCGGTGATGGCGTGAAATGTGCAAGGGTTTAAGTCTTAATTCCATGAACCTCGAAGTAGAGCCCAAACCGCTACACCCGAATCCCGAATCCCTAAACCCCTAGACACTAAACCCCAATCCCTAAACCCTAGCCCCTAAACCCTAAACCGCTTAACCCCAAACCCTAATCCCTAAACCCTAATCCCTAATCCCTAAACCGCGATAGGGGGCCATTGCACTTTTAAAAAACATCTGTAAACCGCTTAGCCCTAATCCCTAAACCCCTAAATTCCTAAACCTTAAACCGCCAGACCCTATAAACCCAAAGGCCTGCCCATGACAGGTCAACTCCCTTGAGCCGACGAGGCAAGGGAAAGCTGATCCCAAGCCATGTCTCATAATTTAGGGTTTACGGGTTTAGGGTATAGGGGCCTGAACAATGAGAATAGGGTTTTGGGCTCCTGTGTAGTACAATTATTGCAAGGAGCCCCCAAAATAGCACAGGTAGTTATGAGGCCCCTATATGAATCTCCCTTGTAGTTCTTTTTTGGTACAGTTCGATGTTCAGGATATGTTCGGAATGCAGTTCCCGTTTTTCGGGATTGAGATTCTATACTTAAGATATTTCAGGATCCTCTAAGGAAATCCACACAAAAAGGAACTACAATGGAGACTCGAGGTAAACAAGCTGTCTTTCGCGAGACTCGTCTATGATGGAGTAGGGTTCCGTTGGGGCGGTTTCACCAAGGCTTGTTTCCAACACCAGTACGAAACCAGTATGGCGACTCCCACCCAAGCCCAAAAGCCTATCACTCAGACATTGAACGCATGCACGTAGGTCGAGGTGGGGTCAAAACCCGGCTTCTTCACAGTCATGATGTCGACCTCTACGCAGTTGGTTTGTGTTGTGAGCATGATTCCTTCTTACTGGGTTGAAAGGCGGCATCATACATACATGTGTTCAGCAATGCGGGTTCGGGACATGTAAAACTTGAGTTGCAAAAGCCAGTCAGTTACGCACAGGTAGTATATCCTAGACCATGAAGCTACATTTGCCCACGGCTCATTTTGTTAAATGGGGGTTTCCGAACATAGGGGACCCGAATATAGTACCCTAAATAGTAGGATCCTTATTATAAGGGGGCCCCAAAATAAGGTACCCCTATTTTTCGGAAACTCCCAAATCTGCGCCGGCTTTCAAAACCCCGAGCCGCAGCTCGGAAGAAACCAGGAGCCTATGGCCCGAGCCTGGGTCAGAACTAGTCTTTTCTCATAAGGGGATTTAGGGTTTAGGGTTTAGGGATTTGGGAGTTTCCGAAAATGGGGGTGGTCCCCTTATTTTGGGGTCCTTATAATAAGGATCCTATTATTTAGGGTACTATATTAAGTGGGGTACCTTATTTTGGGGTCCTTATAATAAGGATCCTATTTTTTGGGGTACTATATTAGGGTTCCCTATTCTCGGAAACCCCCCATTTCTCATAAGGGCACTTCACGTGGATGGGTGCCCCGTCTGTTAGGCCGAGGTCTACAGATCACAAAATTCAGAGGCCATCAACAGTATGACTCAGTATGACTCTACCAACGCCGCTTTGGGGGAGGGAGGGAGGGAGGGATTGAGGGAGGGAGGGAGGGAATCTTGAATCCAGAGCCCTCTGCCAGAAAGCACCCCCTTTTTTAAGATTCCACATCAACCAGAGTCACCAGAGTCCGAACGCCTCGAGGTTGCGAGTTCGCCTAAACCCTAACACCAGGGTTCAGGTTTAGGGCCTATAAAGTTCATGTTGAAGAAGTGGGGTTTCAGAAGCCGCCTACTGTATTTACGAGTTCAAACATGAGAATCCTTGTCAGGTCCTTACGGCGCACATATCAAGGGTTCGTGATGTCTTCATCATAAGTGTTGTGCTGAAGCTGCAGCTGTGTTTCCGACCTTAATGCTCAAGCCGTATGGCATATGATCGGCTGTCTAGATAACGGTATCAGGGACCACTATTGTCTTAATTATTAGAAGCCCCATGATGAGGGCGTGGGCACTTCAGAGTGAGCCTTCTGCGTAACGAAACTGCGGACGAACACACCTCAGAGTGTCAAGGCGTGCCCTTATTGTACGAGCCCCTCCAAAACCCTATTCTAAGTATTCAGGCCCCCCAAACCCTAAACCCTAAACCCTAAACCCTAAAGCCAAGTCTAATTGTTCAGGCCCCCTAGATTCGATCGCCGTTGCGCCAGGATCGAAACTGAGAATTTCCGTGGCCACATCCTTTTCCTGCACAGGTCGGCCTTCTTTGAAATATAGAGTTCAGGGTATAGGGTTTAAGGGTTTAGGGTGGGGTTCAGGGTTTAGGAGTTTAGGAGTTTAGGGGTTTAGGGCTTAGGGATTAGTAACACTAGTTTGGGGGGGCTCCTCAAATATTGTGCTTCTAGTATAATATAGCCCAAAATGCCACTCTAATTATGAAGGCCCTTCCTTTGGGGATCCTGCCGTAACAGGCAAAAATGTCAAAAGTTCTCGTCTCCGAACCTTACCTATAGTGTCCATTTTAGTTCCTAAGTTAGGTTACCTGATGGGATCTAACTCACCAGACAAAGGAACTACAATGCATACTGTGGGTAACGTCAAGTTTAAGTTTAAGTCTTACAAACCACAAACATTAAGATGACGGGCATTAAACCCACAAAGGGTCCGAGGTACCGTAACTACTTTCCTAAATCATAATGCGGATGCCTAATATAGAAACCTTGCACTCCACTATATACGTACTGAGGACCTGTTGGAAACCGCGGAAGCCTCAAACCCTAAACCCCTAAACCTTAATGCCCTAAACCCCAAGCCCTATAACCTCTAAACCGCTAACCCTAAACCCCTAAACCCTAAACCCCTAAATCCCTAAACCCAATAAGTAAACCCAGACCCTGAACCCAAACCCCTAAACCCCAAAGCCTCTAAACCCTAAGCCCTAGTAGAGCCTAGGTCGCAAGCCTTTGGTCCAGCGGCCCGGTGTTGCGAGTTTCGAAGTTTTGTGGAGTTGGAAGCCTAGGGCAGGGTTTAAGGTTTAGGATTTAGGGTTGGCTTGGGGAAGAGGCTTTTTTTCGAGTTGTTCAAGCTAACTTTGCCTATGCAGAAAATCGTCCCGTACTCTTCGATGCTGTTTCTTGCTTGGCTGCTTACCTCAGTTCAGCTACAGGGTCCTAGCGCCATAAAGCTGGTTGACCAAAACATGCGGCACCATTCATCATTGGAGAGTATAGGTAATGTCGATAGGTTTGAAGGTTAGGGCATAGATGAGCCTTCACAAACGGCGTTGTTCTCTGTTGCGACAGACCATGCACCCTGCAGAGAAAGCTGCTTTGCCCAAAGCTGATCCCGCCGAATTACGAACGCCGACTGCACAATGATGTTCGAGACGAAGAAGCGGATGTTGCCGGAACCGGCGGCAGTGATGGTGGTGTCGATGATAACGCTGACGGAGATGAGTTGGTCGATTGCCGCTGACCGGGCCCAGTTCCATCAATGCGACCACCTCACAAAACAGTTTTTCCTGACTCAGCCTCTATTGCGCTGAGTATTGGCATGGGTGCATGTTGTGATGACAAATGCTTTCGAGTTATCATTCAACTGCTGCCCAAAAGGTATACCTTGAACTCTGTACCATGCTCTTACATTCTTTAAGATACGAGTGAGCCTGCGGGCCGCAGGGACTTCCTTTCTCCTTCTTTAGGATTGGGAATAAACCCTAAACCCTCAACCCTTAACCCTTAACCCTAAACCCTAGACCCTAAACCCTAAACCCTAAACCCTCAACCCTAATTGGGAATGAAGCCGTTTATAGGACCAAGGCTCCCTCCCAAGCCTTGTAGCCCGAAATCTAAACCCAAAAACGCTACACTCCCTAATGGGACCCCGAAAACCCTAAACTCCCCAATTAAAACCCTAAACCCCAAACTCCCTAATTAGACCCCTAAGCCCTCCTGAACCCTGATCCCAAAATAATGACATCTTGTGCCAGGCCCCTCGAAGAGGGTCATCCGTGGCCGTACGGGAAGCCTAGCGGCTGCAAGCGGTTGACTTCGACTAATGTAGGGGCTTAAATAAGTACCTGTACTATTTTTTTTTGGGGGGGGTTCCTTATTACGAGTATGGTATAATGATGGGCCCGAAAATCTTATCCTAACTTTTCAGGCCACTAGATTCGGCGACTTTGAGGACCAATCTCCTTTGCCAAAAAGTCGGGTTGTCCCATGTTCCACAGCTCCTCAGCCTTCAATGTGTAATCAGTGGCCAACACCGCGCCAAGCAGAACACTCGTGTTGGCCGTGTTGGGCCTATACAGCGCCATTAGCCATGAACGAGATTTGTTCGTGCTGATGATGGTGCGGCTTAAAGGCAGTGGACAACAGACCCCGAAAGCATGGATCTATCGCATAAGTATCGATGGGCAAAGGACACAGATACATATACCTGGTACATGTACACACGTATACATATGCCATATCGCATCATGTGCATGCGGTGAAATGCATGTTATGCCGTATCAGGCCGCGTCACGCCATGCCATATCACATTACACCGTGACTTGTCCCTTCGCCTCACAACGTCACCATGTCGTTGAATATGGATATGCACATGCCAATGTGCATATGCATACGTGCAACCCCGTGTAGAGGCATAGCGGTATAGGTATATGAACTTATACATGTATGTATATGTAGGCTATACGTATTTGCATGTATAAGCATAAGTAAGTAAACTTGTTTGTATAAATCTGTGTATTTACGTGCAAGTGTTGTAAGCATACCCTAAGCTTCCAAGGACCTTATTGTTAGGGCCCTAGACCAACAATAAGGTCCCTGGACGCCTAGGGATACTTAAGCATGTTACTTCTGAGTCGTCTTCCCTAGGATCCTCGTGGTTCAGGCTTTAGGTACGCTCAGGGTTGGCGGTGCTGGTCCTTGTACTTAAGCAGTATAGGCTTCGGCTTAGTCAAGGAGTCCGCATACAGGTGCTTTAGGGCCAGAGTATATAGTATGTGGGCACATGAACCCAAACCCCTAAAACCCCAAAAACCCTAAACCCCTAAAACCCTTAACCCCTAAACCCCTAAACCCCTAAAGCCCCTAAACCCCTAAACCCCTAAAACCCCTAAACCCCTAACCCCATTAGGGTCGTGTTTAGTGTGTAGCACTTGCGAGCAATCCGGTAGCCGTAACTCAGCCAGCCAGGGCCCGGCTCAGGGGCTGTTTAGTGGTTTAGTTTAGGGTTTAGGGTTTAGGGTTTAGGGTTTAGGGGTTTTGGGGTTTAGGGGTTTAGGGGTTTAGGGTTTAGGGTTTTTAGGAGTTTAGGGGTTTAGGAGTTTAGGGGTTTAGGGAGGAGTTCAGGGGTGTACGGGTTTAGGGGTTTAGGGGTTTAGGGTTAAGGGGTTTAGGGTTTAGGGGTAAGCCGAAGCTCTTAATCCTGTAGCAGCCAGGCAGAAATGACAAAACTCGACACTTGCAACCATTGCAACAGAGAAACCCCAGCGGACGGTCTATCAACAGACCAATCTCAGAAGCGACGGCCTGTAGTCTCCATCGTAGTTCCTTTTTGGGGATACCTTATCAAATCCTGGATATATAATTGGTTAAACCAAAAAACCAGCTACCATGGAGAAGATAGGAGCAGCCCAGGCAATTTGAGGGGAAGTCTCGAGTGTGGGAGCTGCGCGTTCAAGGCCTCTCAGGGCTTTCGCTGTTCCGGGGTCTAGCAGAGCCACGGTTTCATTTAGGGTTTAGGGTTTAGGATTTATGGTTTAGGCTTTAGGCTTTCAGGCACAAGACAGTATACTACTGAAGTCTGCAGGCCATTTTGCGGGATGATTGGAATGGATTCGAAGTCGCAGCTTAAGTAAATTCGCGCTAGAGCGCGGGATGTTATAACGTGGCCCGACTCCTTCACATATTTATCGTGGCTGCCGTCTTCCCAGAGGCTTGCAGAGGCCCTGAGAGTCTTTCGAGAGTACTACCTAATCTAGACCGTCGGTGCAGTCAGAAGAGCTGTAAATATAAAGGTCGCAAAGGTCCAAGAACCTATATCCGTTGTAGAACAGTATTGTAGACCTCTGACTACCAACCCGCCTCCCCAGTGATTTAAATTAGTTGCCTTCAATCTCAAGACCACACCTACTTTCAAACCTTATTAATGATTGCATCCCATCAACACCGCAGGAAAGCGTTCATCACAGCATTGGCCGAACCTGTGATAAAGACATCTCACCTATGGAAACCATAAACCCTAAAACCTACACAACCCTAAACCCTAAACCCTTAGCGAACAAAACCTACACAACTCCGAGGTGTCTTCATCTCAGATCCCGGGGACATCCATTTCGCTGTGGAGCTTGACAAGCCGTGCCTCGTCCTGGGCAGAGCTTTTGATTGTTCTGACGATTTGATCAAGGTTTAGGGTGTATAGGGCCACGAATTTTGGGTGATTTGGAGAGTCATGATAACTTCACTCCATGAGCTTAGAACTTTTAGAGTTTAGGGTTTCTGAGACTGATTTGAAGTTTGGCTGGCTTTGGGCTGTGGGCTCTGAGAACCCTGAAGTGCAGGGACCCAGCGAGGAGGATGTTGGTATGATGCGGTAACCCTAAACCGTGAGTTCATGCCGTGGTCAACCAGACATACTCTCTTTACGATTTGCGGTTTGTGCCTACTCAGAATCTGACTTCTGAGGATGACCCTCAGCTGGGCGACGCAGGCCTTCGGCTTTGCTTGTGACTTTCCGGGCATCGAGGCTGAATCGCTACAATCCTGAACTACGGTTCAATGACAACTGATTACCTCGGGCCCAGGGTGGTCCAGAATGGCTTCAGGAGCTCCAAACCCTAATATCTAAACCGTTATTTCAGGTGTCGAGGCTGGAGAGTTGTCCTTGCACTTGGGGGGAGCCTTATACCATGTAAGTAGGCAGCACATAAGATGGTCTTGCAGGGGATCGTTGTGGTCCTTGTTGAGGAGGTGATAAGTACTCTCCTCGGTCGAGATTTCGAGGACAATACCCCGAGCCTTACCGAGGCTTCGGAGTTCAGGGCATACAGGGTTTAGGGTTTAGGGTTTAGGGGTTTAGAGTATAGGGGTGTAGGGTTTTGGGTTTCCAGGGACAGGGCTTTGGGGTTCGGGTGTGGGTTCAGTAAGTGGATTTGAGCCTTCAGGGATTCAGGGACTTGGGGTGTTGAGCCGCCGCCGGGTAGAGCTCCCATACTTCAGAAGCCTAAACAATTACCAATATTATTCCTGAGGGTTCCTATATATATATATATACATATATATATATATATATATATATATATTTTGCTCCCCTTAATAAAGCCGCCCGAAACCTTATTCTAGCTGTGATTAGAGTGTTACTGGCTTTATGATCCCGAAACCACGAACCCTACACACACAACACGCGCGCCCAGCTATTTCGAATCTATGCCCAGCGGCTCCCGCTTTGAGGTTTGAGAACTGGATTCCTGAAATTCCGGTAGGTCTCCCTTTCGCCAGGATGAGGATGCCCCCTAAGTTTAGGGAGGTTGGTGTTTCTGCAGATGCGGAGCTGCGCCAGGTGACGATGAACATGATCATGGCCTTCGCCCACGCCATGACTGCCGCCGACATCTCAAAATCTTACATGTAGATCAAAAAACCTACCTTCTTCGGGATACTTATTGTTGTAGTTTCTGTTTATATTTATAACTCCTTGAAAAGGTAGGCTTTCTGGGCTGCGGGTAGGCTTGAGGGTTAACAGGGCTCCCGGTCTTCTGTCGAGGAACCCCTTCAATCCACAGCGGAGACGTCTACAACGAAAGCACAACGGGAGCACGATGCCCCTTGAGTGAGGAATATGATCTAGGTTTACATCATCATCTTGGCACTGCATGCCGAAATCCTACCCCGTAAACCCTAAATATCCCCATGAAGTCGCCGCACTTCGGTGCGAACCTGCTTCGCTTTAGCGCGAGCAAAGCTTCCATGTGGGAAGCCTGCAACCCGAAATAGGGTTAGAGGGTTTAGTAAACCTTACCTGTATCCTTTTTGGGGATACTTTATAAGATCATAATTGGCGAAACCAAAAAAAGGAACTACAAGGGAGACTATAGGTAAACCTCCAAAGCCTAAGAGCCCCTTGCCCCTTCCGCATAAGCTTTTACCGGATCTTTCGCAGAGAGCTCCAAGCCTGGCGTGTATGTTTCTACTGTACTAGACTATGCGATGCTATACTCTACTGACTATTCCGTACTAGCGGTATTATGCTATTACGTTTGTATCAATCCGGGTTTCATGCGCAAACTTCAGAAACCAAAAAGGTGTTGACTTTCTTGGCTTCTTGTCCACCAAGTTGCGTGGCGTCGTCTTCGACTACAACCTTTTTCACGAAGAGAGAGACGACGGGGACATGGAAGCAACCTCAGCCTCTGACATGTCTGTTAGGTGTTAGGGTTTGGTACGCATGTTGTTTACGTTTAGGGGCCTCAGTATAGGGTTGAGGGTATCTGGCATGTGAGGGCCTGCATAATCAGCTAATTATGAGACATAGAGTTCCTCATTATGATTATCACAGGACAATAGACAAACCCTTGTTCTCACCACTGGGACTCCTTAGTAGATTGCTGAGAAACCCAAAGCCGCCCTAAACCCTAAGCCCTAGGCCTTAAAGTCTAAACAGTGTTAGCAGTTGCAGGCTGCAGCTCCGGACCTAGACTCAAGACCGAAAAGGTTTCATGTACACATGCCTGGGATTGAACTGTCTCAGCATTCTCGAGCTCCAGCCCAATATATTTAAGATCCACAGACCGCCGACGCTCCTGCCGACGCCAAACCAGGATTTCAGGGTTCAGAGGTTTGGTGTCGCATTACAGAAACTGTGGGCGCTACACATAGGCTCCCCTGTAGTTCCTTTTTGTAGCTTTGTTTAGGCTCCTGTAAGGTAATCCCAAAAAAGGAACTGCTGTGGAGCCTATGGGTAAATCCTACACTGCACGCGATTAAGTAGCCAAAATTGCCGTTTGTTTCCATGCGCCTTGGGATGCTCAAGGCAAGCAAAGAAACCCCTAGTTGCTGAGTAGGTAACCTTTGACACGTGGGGGTTTACATTCTCCTACCAAGTAAACTAAACAGGTTCACCTTCGTTGGGGAAGGGAGTTCGGCAGCCAAGGAATCATGCTGACGCCTCTCCGCGCGTGAAGCGTGCCCATATTGTCCATCGTTGCTGCCATGTTAGGCCGCCTGCCCTTAAGAAAGAGATCCCGATTCAACCCTAAATTCTGAACAGCCTTAACCCTAAACCCTCCAGCTCTTAGCAACAGCAGCCGAGATTCTGCCGTACTTCTCATGCCCGCTCGCTGGAGCCGATGTGGTTCTGCAGACACCGCAGGCGATGTTGTAGAGCTTAAGGATGTCGGGCCTTTAGGGTTTAGGGTTTAGGGTAAAGGGGTTTCGGTCGTTCCGACATGTAGACTATTGCCACTTGTGTCTCTTCAAGAGAACCTGCAGAATCTTTAGGCCAGTTTCCATCTTACCACCTGAAAAGATCGCGGCCATTTACGGCAGAAAGAGTGCAGAAAGTCTTGTACTGGTTGAAACATGTCCGACCAGTGTGTACTTCAAGCAAACGGATGCCATGATTAGCTTCCGTAAGTACGTCCCACCAAGTTTCACTGTGGAAGTTTCGTGTTGTCCGGTTGTTGGGTTCTTCTTCAAATCATAGGCAACCCTAAACCTTAAACCCGTCGCCGCACTGGAAGCGCCAGGGTGCCTCGCCGCCTCCGTTGACCGAGCCTTTCGAGAAGATGACGCCAGAGGTGCTACTTGAGGGGTATACGGTTTAGGGTTTCTAACACGTTGAGAGGTATGGTTGGTATAGTAATATTGGTTTTCAGTCTGCAGCTAAGTACCTGATGACGGCTTAGCTTGTCCTCAGACATCCCACACAGGATCGACCCGTTGAAAGATCCGAAGCTATGATTCCTTCAGCGTTCTGAGCAGCTGGGCTTGGCCATTGAAGGAGAAAATGGCTGTGGAGCTGAACGCCACGGACCCTCAGTGAGCAGAGCAGAGCCGGTTTAGTTTGTCAATTCTCGAGTTACAATAGTGGTGGTATAAGCCGAATACGCCGTCGCCGCCGCAGGCACAACAGTAGCAACAGCAGCAGTAGTAGTAGTAGTCGTCGTCGTGGTGGTGGTAGTGCTAGTGGTAG